AGCTACAGAGTAGAGGTCTGCAAGCCCGTCGGGTCCCGGCTGGTCATTTTAATTTGTTAGACTATTTTATCTACAGCTCGTTAGAGGTAGAATTCTTTAGTGAAATAAAGATGATATTTATTGAAATTAATTTGAATTAATTAAGGAGAGAGAGAGAGAGAACGAACTAATTCACGCATGCACCTACGTGCGAGCGAGCGGTTGTGAAGCATTGCAAACAAGCTTGTCGGTAGCTTGTCGGTTTAATTACAAAAACTGCTAAGTTATCACCTCATTGCTGAGAAATATATGTAGCTTTTAGCTGTTGTATTTTCAAAATTAACGGGGCATTGAAAACCAGCTCCTGAATGTGCAATTTCTTACCTATAAAAAATTTCCATCTCAATAAAATGCGAGCGCATACAGCACGCCGGCATTAAAACGCCATTAAAAATCTTTATGAGCAAACGTGTCGCCCTCGCATTGGGAGTTCTGTGGAGAATCGGATATGTGTGTTTAGACGTAGGTCGGATGTCCAGATATCAGATGTGTATCCGATTAAAATCCACATGTGGAAGTTACTGAAGAAACAAAGTCACCTACATCTTGGATGCCCTGGGGGTAAGCAGATAAACATCAAATTTTCATTTTTGGGTGAATTATCCCTTTATTGCATCTTTACACAGGCAAGTCAAGGCTGCTCTGTTCTTGCTCTAATTCACTGTAAAAACACAATGCTGCATAAAAGCCAAACTGAATCATTCCTGTTGTGACCCACCTCAGTATCAAAATATACAGTTGTATATGGCTGTGTAAACGCATTTATGCAACCTCTGAGCAGCATTACACAGTCTGTGCAAAAACACCCAAATTCCACTTCAGAAGCGCTGTGTCCGCTTGTTTGGCACAGGGAAATTTTGAAATGGATAATTCTGGTCCTGGATGCTGATTGGTCAATACAGTGTTACAGCCATGCTAACATGCATGATGTATTAACAGCTAACAGAGTTTATCCGTATACTCTCAATAAAACTACCTTGTTTGACTTCCATGTTTATGAAACGAATGACATTGTGTGTTTGCTTGACTCTCAGACCTTTTTTGGGCATGAGTTTGTATTGATGTGTTGAAGTGATGGTGTGTTTTGACAATTGTTTTTTGTATTGATTTTTTTTTTTTTAAGTTACACTGCTGTGATGACTGTTTTTAAAAGGACCGAAGAAGAGACGTGTTCTGTGAATGCTGGTTTGGTGTTGTATTGCATGCTTTGGTGATGACACAACACAAGCATCCTCATACATCGAATGTCTCCTTCATAGGATGAAGGCTTGGTCAAGGAAATCAGCATCACTCACCATGTCAAGGAAGGCTCGGAAAAAGCAGACACACGACAGTTTGAACTCTGCAAGGTGCTGGGCCAGGGCTCTTTTGGCAAGGTGAACTGCTCAGATATGAGAACATGATTCGTTTTTATTATTGTGTTTACATGCAGAAGAATCATTCTGTTTTTAATAAATAACGGTTCGTGTTTCTGAAGGTGTTTCTGGTCAAGAAGATAACTGGGCCCGATGCAGGACAGCTCTATGCTATGAAAGTGCTAAAGAAAGCTACGCTGAAAGGTGTGTTTTATGTGTTGGCATTTTCTTTAAAAATATTTGCTGCCAGTGCATTATTATTGAACTTGTACAAACTGAAAAAGGACGTTTTTCTAATGTTTGTTTTTGTTTGGGTATGTGTGGTTTCAGTACGAGATCGAATGCGTACAAAGATGGAGAGAGACATCCTAGTTGAGGTCAATCATCCTTTTATTGTTAAACTGCACTATGGTGAGTTACTGACATCCCATCACCAATCAGATTCTTACACTTCATGGTTGTGCACTTCTCTTGAATCTTTAATTTTGATTCCTCAGCGTTTCAGACAGAAGGCAAACTCTATCTGATTCTGGACTTTCTCAGAGGAGGAGATCTCTTCACTCGCCTGTCCAAAGAGGTGAATTACGTGTCTAAGGACAGATAAATCCAACACATACACTACTGTTTAAGATGCTGTGTCCGCTTGTTTGGCACAGGGAAATTTTGAAATGGATAATTCTGGTCCTGGATGCTGATTGGTCAATACAGTGTTACAGCCATGCTAACATGCATGATGTATTAACAGCTAACAGAGTTTATCCGTATACTCTCAATAAAACTACCTTGTTTGACTTCCATGTTTATGAAACGAATGACATTGTCTGTCATTTGATGAGCTTCTAACTATTATGCCTATTTTGACCTCTGTGGTGGATATTGACGTCTGTGGTCTTTTTGCACCATCAATAGAATGTCAGATAGCATCCACCATTCAGTCTTATTCATATTGGCAGACTGGTGTGTGTGATTTATTGATCAAACTCTGTGTATGAGACTAGATTTTAAGTCACTACCACCCTGTTTTCCATTCAACTGTATGTTATAAGAGAGAGAAAGGGAGGGGAAGAAGAAGGAGATAAATGAGATGAATTTGAGTTTTGAACTCTTAGCTCTATCTAATACATATTATCATTAATTATTATTTTAGCGTCCAAAGTTGGATGATCCTGACAGCACTTTTACTCTCGTCTTCTGCTCAGATGTGGGTATTCGGTCAGTTATTTATTCAGATGGGCCTGGTTTATACCCTCTGCTGCTTGTTTGTGGTGTTTATTCTCTCTCTCCTCCTACAGGCTTTGGCACGCTGCTCCTCTGCAGAGACAACATCTATCCAGGCTTCTATTTAACATCCTCTCTCACTGTGTGTGTTTGCTTGACTCTCAGACCTTTTTTGGGCATGAGTTTGTATTGATGTGTTGAAGTGATGGTGTGTTTTGACAATTGTTTTTTGTATTGATTTTTTTTTTTTTAAGTTACACTGCTGTGATGACTGTTTTTAAAAGGACCGAAGAAGAGACGTGTTCTGTGAATGCTGGTTTGGTGTTGTATTGCATGCTTTGGTGATGACACAACACAAGCATCCTCATACATCGAATGTCTCCTTCATAGGATGAAGGCTTGGTCAAGGAAATCAGCATCACTCACCATGTCAAGGAAGGCTCGGAAAAAGCAGACACACGACAGTTTGAACTCTGCAAGGTGCTGGGCCAGGGCTCTTTTGGCAAGGTGAACTGCTCAGATATGAGAACATGATTCGTTTTTATTATTGTGTTTACATGCAGAAGAATCATTCTGTTTTTAATAAATAACGGTTCGTGTTTCTGAAGGTGTTTCTGGTCAAGAAGATAACTGGGCCCGATGCAGGACAGCTCTATGCTATGAAAGTGCTAAAGAAAGCTACGCTGAAAGGTGTGTTTTATGTGTTGGCATTTTCTTTAAAAATATTTGCTGCCAGTGCATTATTATTGAACTTGTACAAACTGAAAAAGGACGTTTTTCTAATGTTTGTTTTTGTTTGGGTATGTGTGGTTTCAGTACGAGATCGAATGCGTACAAAGATGGAGAGAGACATCCTAGTTGAGGTCAATCATCCTTTTATTGTTAAACTGCACTATGGTGAGTTACTGACATCCCATCACCAATCAGATTCTTACGCTTCATGGTTGTGCACTTCTCTTGAATCTTTAATTTTGATTCCTCAGCGTTTCAGACAGAAGGCAAACTCTATCTGATTCTGGACTTTCTCAGAGGAGGAGATCTCTTCACTCGCCTGTCCAAAGAGGTGAACTACGTGTCTAAGGACAGATAAATCCAACACATACACTACTGTTTAAGAT